GGGAGAGAAAAGGGACTAGGGGGAGAAAAGAGAACCAGGGGGTCAAAAGGAGGCAAGGGAGAGAAAAGGGAACCAGGGGGAGAAAAGGAGATGGGGGAGAGAAAAGAGGACCCAGGAGAGAAAAGAGAACCAGGGGTCAAAAGGAGGCAATGGAGAAAAAAGGGAACCAGGGAGTGAAAAGGGACCAGGGAGAGAAGAGGGGAGCAGGGAATCTAAAGGGAACCAGGGAGTTTGTCAGAGCTGACACCACTAAACCTTTAAAAAAATTACAACATGGGCTTGAGAGTCAGTTGAGTTCTGTTTCTTTGCTGCCTTCAGATCCTCTTTTCATCTCCTTTCCAGGCAGAAGAACACATCCTTTTGCACAAACCAGCTGTGGCTGCTACCACAGGGGCTGTGACAGGAAACCAGGCAAAGGCAAACTGTGGGTTTGCCCTCATCAGTTTGGGGAACACGAGCACCCCAAACTAGGGCCTGGAGGTTGGACAGCACAGCCCCAGCCCCTGGATCAGCCTCCTTCAGGGAGCTTTGTGGCACCCACTTGCTGAGGAGCCAAATGGACAGCAAGGCAGGAAGCTGCACTAAACACAACAAGGGAGCCCGGCATGGATTGGTTATAAAACTCCCTGCCTTCATTTCATTGCCTTTGGTAAAGCTTGGTAAATATTTCTGGGACAGGCAACTCCTTGTCTGGCTTTAATTACCTGGGCAAATTTTCCTAAGGATTATATTGACCTCAAATATGTCAACATTTATTGAGGCCGTGTTCCTGAGGCTTTTCCCATTAGGTGCTAATGGATTCTGGCTAATAGTCAAGCAGGATTGACCACCAGCAGGTGCCCTGGCCAGCTCCACACTACCACAACTACCTGGGGAGAGAACTGGGGAGGGCAACACCGCCTTTGTGAGAGCCAAGTACAAAAATCACCATGGCTCTGATCCAAAGAGATCAGGGAACACGCTTGAGTAATTGCATTCCTGACTATCTGCTTCTCTGGGCATGATTCACCCCCAGCTGGGCTGTGAGATTTCAAGCAAAGGCTGATTTTGCTGGGGACTGTTGTGACTGTCTCACTTGGGACTTTTGGGAGGGTTTCACTTGGGATTATTGGGGCTGATGCAGGGACCCCACACCTTGGTGCTGCTGGGGGCTCCCAGCCAAGCTTTTCCCACCTCTCCCAGCCTGCCCTGCTCCTTCCTGGGCTGTCAGCTCCCAAAATTTCTGGACAAGGACTTTTTGCCCCCCAGCTGCCTGCACTGAGCCCAGAGGACACGAGGCAGGGACTCCAGTGTGGCGCTTCCGTTCTCGCTCGAGAAGGGGCCGAGGTAAAACCTCAGCCAGAGGTTTGTGGTTCTTGGCCACATGCAAAACTCTGTGCTCATTTTCACTCTCCCACGCTTGGCAGAGAGGTGAAATTTCCCCTCTGGGATCCCCCCCTGGGCCCCCTCCCCCAGCATTGTCACCACCCTGGTGACAATGGGCAGGAACGGATGTGTCACCTGCAAGGGGAACCCTCGGGATGTTCTTGATGTGTCACCTGCAAGGGGAACCCTTGGGATGTTCCTGATGTGTCACCTGCAAGGGGAACCCTGAGGATGCTCCTGATGTGTCACCCTCAGGATGCTCCTGATGTGTCACCTGCAAGGGGAACCCTTAGGATGCTCCTGATGTGTCACCTGCAAGGGGAACCCTGAGGATGCTCCTGATGTGTCACCCTGAGGATGCTCCTGATGTGTCACCTGCAAGGGGAACCCTCAGGAACAGCCCTTGCTGTGGAGCACAGGGGATGCCTGCAGGAGTTTGCTGTCAATTCCTGCAGGTACAATGCCCAGAAGCTCTGAGCCCCCACCCTCCCAGCAGCACACCTGGACAGCTCCCCACATCCACTGTCCAACTCCAGGCTTGGGAAGAGAGGATGGATCTGGCCCTGGGATGTGCTGTCCATAACATCACCCACACAAACAGCAGCGTGGATTTGTCCTTTAATCACCCCAAAAGGGTGGTGCAGGAGCAGGGTGGTGCTGGCTGGCAGGCACTCAGTGCCCACAGGTTCAGGGAGAGGAGCAGCACAGGAGAGATGTCCATGCACGTGCAGATGTGAGCCAGCCCTCGAGTCCCCTGGCTCATGGTGCAGAGGGCAGCACCCCAGCTCTCCTGGGAACTCCCAGAGCCTGGAGCTGGGCAAGGGCTTCAGTGCAATGTCCTGAGCAATCCCTGGAGGTAGCTGGGCAGGCAAAGACACAGCTCTGTGGTCAGGGTAGGAGGAGCTGCCAGTGTGGTTGGTACAAGCTCTGAGGCAGCCTGGGCGGGCAGAGATGAGTCCCTGGGACGGTCATGCTGTGAGCCAGGCACGGAGACACAGGAGCTGCGTGTGCAGGGTCCATGCTGAGCAGTGCTGAGCCCGAGGGCTGCCCGTGGCCTGGGTGGAGGTGCTGTGTGGGAGAGCCTGTCCAGAGGCTCCTGGGCTGTTAGAATGCCTGGCACAGCTTTGTGTGCTCCTCCTGGCGCTGGCTCTGCAGGGACACAGGTTGGAGGGGTCTTTCTGCCTGGCCCCTGTGGCCAGGGGAGCACACAGCCTCCTCCTGGCAGCACCACAGGTGCCAGGAAATGTTAGGGTGGGTGGAACAGGAGGGTGGCAGCACTCAGAGCCCTGCCAGGCTGTGAGCACTGCCCTGAGCAGTTACCTGTATGATCTCTATGCTGTTGGCAGCAGCCATCAGCCAGGACACAGGTCCCTTGGGTGCCACCTCAACGTCACAGGGTGCAGGGGAGCCACTTCGAGAAGGCAGGGAGGGCGTGCAGGAGCCTGAGGCGGGGTCGCTGTCCTCAAAGAACTGCAGGGGGGACAGCCCGATCTGGAAGAGCAGAAGAGGGATGGACACACAGCCCCTGTGGGGGACACCCATCCCATTGTGCAGCCCCACAGCACCCCAGGGCTCCCCAGCCAGAGCAGGAGCGTGGCCCCAGGACCTACCGAGTGGTAGAACTCGTCCCCAGCGGGGTCGATGACCAGCAGCGTCACCTGATCCTCCCGGGCGCGGATCCTGTGCACCGTCTGCTCGTGGTCCAGCCCCTCGATGCTCTCCCCGTTCACGGCCAGCACTCGGTCCCCTTCCCTCATCCCTGCCTGCTCTGCTGGCAGCCCCACATCCACATCCCACAGGAACTGGCCTGCCACAGCACAGGGAGGGCGCAGGGGCTCACAGAGAGGAACTGGCTCTGCTGACCCCCGTGTGCAGGTGTATATACAGGGTATAGAGCTGTCAGCTCTTCCCAACCCTCAGAAACGCCTTGCTCATGTACAAACTGCCCCTCTCAGGGTGGGGACAGGTCCCATTGCAGGCACAGAGCTGTCAGCTCTTCCCAACCCTCAGAAACGCCTTGCTGACGTACAAACTGCCCCTCTCATCTACTCCTCCTGAGCTGCAGTCATCCTCCTTGAGCAGGAACCCATAGCCAGCAGGACCCTTCACCAGGTGCAGGTGGGGACAGGTCCCATTGCAGGCACAGAGCTGTCAGCTCTTCCCAACCCTCAGAAATGCCTCGCTCAGGCACAAACTGCCCCTCTGAGCCCTCTCACCTACTCCTCCCGAGCTGCAGTCATCCTCCTTGAGCAGGAACCCGTAGCCAGCAGGACCCTTCACCAGATGCAGCTCCCGGACCTTGAAGGGCAGCCTGGAGGTGTCAGCCAGGGCAGCCGTGACCCGCAGGCCCCGCAGGCGGTAGAACTCCTCCACAGCGCTGGATGCCACCAGCAGCGTCACCTTGTTGCCGCTCTGCTTGAGCTGCATGGGAAGCACAGGTGACATTGTCAGTGACATTCTCAGCCCCATCTCTCACCCCCCATGGCAGGAGCAGGCACCTTTCTGGTGAGCTGGGTGTGGGAGTAGCTCTTGACGCTGTCCCCGTTGAGCTCCAGCAGCCAGCAGCCCGGTGGCACCCCCGCTCTGTCCGCTGGCCCGTCCTGCAGCACCGACAGCTGGAAGGTGCCCTTGGTGCCTGCAGGAGGAGCAGAAGGGACACTTTGGGGTGGGTGAGGTGCTACACTGGGGAGGCTCGTGGTGGCAGCATCTTGTTTTACCTTCTGGACACGACACGCTGAAGCCAAAGCCGCTTTTGTCCCTGGTGACGTGGCAGAGGCGCGGGCGGATGTCCTCGGGCAGCATCTGGGACAGGTCCCTGCCCAGGGCTTTGGCTGCTTCGTAGGAGTCACCATCCAGCACTGCCAGCAGCACCTGGTTCCCGCTGGCCTTGATCTTCTGCACCACCTGGAAGGACCCAGGAACCCTGAGCAGGCACCCTGTGATCAGGGGTCAGCAGGGCTCGTGCATGTGGTGGGTGGTGTTTGCAGGGTCCCAGGATGGGGGGAGAGATGAGGATCTGACTCCAGGTTTCAGAAGGCTGATTTATTATTTTATTATATGTATTATATTAAAACTATACTAAAAGAATAAAGGGTTTCATCAGAAGGCTAGCAAGCAAGAAGAATGAAGTGAATAACAAAAGCTTGTGTCTGACTGAGAGTCCAAGACAGCCGGACTGTGATTGGCCATTAATTAGAAACAATCACAGGAGACCAATCCCAGATGCACCTGTTGCATTCCACAGCAGCAGATAACCATTATTTACATTTTGTTCCTGAGGACTCTCAGCTTCTCAGGAGAAAAAATCCTAAGGAAAGGATTTTTTAAAACATATATGTGACATATCACCTTTTTTATCTTAATTAAATTAAAAAGAAAAGTGTATGTCATTTCACCTGCTGGGCCCATGCAGAGGAAAGAACAAACACTTGACAGGCTATCTGTTGCCAATCAAAACCTCAGTCAAGTGCTGATGTGGAATGATCAGGGAAATTCTTCACCTGTAGAACATCAAATTCTATCAAATCACTAAAACAATCTTACAATATAAGAAAATGCAAAAACAATGCAAAGAGAGTTCATTGCTTCAAGTCCAAACAGCTGAGTCAGGCATCCTCTGTGCCCCTGGCTGGGCAGGACCCAGGCATTCCCATGGGGATCAGGAATAAGGGATTCCAGGGACCAGGCCTTCCCATGGGGATCAGGAATAAGGGATCCCAGGTGTTCCCATGGGAATCAGGGATCAGGAATTAGGGATCCCAGGCGTTCTCATGGGAATCAGGGATCCAGGGGTTCCCATGGGAATCAGGGATCAGGAATCAGGGATCCCCGGCGTTCCCATGGGAATCAGGGATCCAGGGGTTCCCATGGGGATCAGGGATCTCAGGGACTCAGGGATTCCCATGAAAATCAGGAATCCCCATGGGGATCAGGAATCAGGGATCCTAGGGACCCAGG